TATGCCTTGACACCTTCATGGCTGTGAAAGTCAAACACAAGGAAGGTCAAGTAAATGCCACTGTGGAATTGCAGTAAAAATTCAGGGATTCCCTTCACTGATTTCTCTTTAGCAGTTTTGTTTTGAGTAAAAGATATGTCAACTCTGAAGCTGTTTAATTACCTTGGAGAAGTATGACATGATTTTACATACAAATACGGTTTTGATGCAAAGTGAAAATCTTATGCTTGTCAAAGAAACCCACAACTTATCAGTTTGTTTTGAGAGTCTGAGTTCACATTTTCATGAAGGGATACACCTTTAGCTATCTCTAAAGGTATCCTTTAGCTATCTCTAAAATAGTTATATGTCTTGCGAGTATTTTAAGAAACGGAGCCAGGCTCATTTCTGACATAACATTGGACAACTGCTGTCTGTATCTGAGACGTCTGTAGCAGGAAAGCAAAGAGAAATACTGGCTGTGCTTTCATTCTATGGCAGCCTGGGGAACTACACTTAAAAGGCAGAAATTAATATTTCACCACAGAGTCTACCTACAATACTTAGTGAGTGAAGATTGAAAATAAACAAATTAGGTATATTATTTCATAGAATCATAGAATAGTTTGGGTTGGAAGGGACCTTTAAAGGTCATCTGGTCCAACCCCTCTGCAGTGAGCAGGGACATCTTCCACTAGACCAGGTTGCTTAGAGCCCCATCCAAACTGGACTTGAACACTTCCAAGGAGGAGGCATCCACAGTTTCTCTGGGCAACCTGTCCCAGTGTCTGACCACCCTCCTTGTAACAAACCTCTACCTTATATCCAGTCTAAATCTACACTCTTTTAGTTTATAGCCATTACCCCTTGTCCTATCACAAAGATCCTACTAAAAAGTATGTCCCCATCTTTCTTAGAAGCCCCTTTCAGGTACTGGAAGGCTGCAATAAGGTCTCCCCAGAGCCTTCGCTTCTCCAGGCTGAACAGCCCCAACTCTCTCAGCCTTACCTCACAGGAGAGGTGCTTCAGCCCTCGGATCATTTTTGTGGCACTCCTCTGGACCCACTCCAACAGGTCCATGTTCTTCTTGTGCTGAGGGTTCCAGAGCTGGACACAGGACTCCAGGTGAAGTCTCACCACAGCAGAGCAGAGGGGCAGAATCACCTCCTTTGACCTGCTGGCCACGCTGCTGTTGATGCTGGCTTTCTGGGCTGCAAGCACACATTGCCACGTCATGTCCAGCTTCTCATCCACTGAAATCCCAAAATCCTTCTCATGGCTGCTCTCAGTCTCTTCATCCCCCAGCGATACTGGGGGTTGCCCTCACCCATGTACAGGACCCCACACTTGGCCTTGCTGAGCCTCATGAGATTCACATGGGCCCAGTTCTCGAGCTTGCCCAGGTCTCTCTGGATGGCAGCCCATCCCTCAGGCGTGTCAGCTGCACCACTCAGCTTGGTGTTGTCTGCAAACTTGCTGAGGGTGCACTCAATCCCACCATCTATGTCATTGATGAATATATTTATTAAACAGTACTGGCCCCAATATGGGCTGCTGAGGGACACCACGTGTCACCAGTCTCTATCTGGACATCGAGCCATTGACCACTACCCTCTGGATGCAACCATCCAACCAATTCCTTATTGAACAGTCCACCCATCAAATCCGTATCTCTCCAGTTCAGAGAGGAGGATGTGTCAAAGGCCTCACAGAAGTCCAGACAGATGGCAACCGTAGCTCTTCCCTTGTCCACTGATGTAGTCATTCCATCACAGAAGGCCATTGGGTTGGTCAGGCAAGACTTGGCCTTGGTGAAGCCATGCTGACTGTCTCAAATGTGATTTGAAATTACTAATAATGTAGCACTGTTGACTAACAGCATTATTCTCTCTGTTTACTTTGATATGGTGTGGCACCTACATACACAGCAGAGAACAGTAGGTGATAAGGCAAATGTTGTTGTAATCCTTCAGGAATATCAGACAAGATTACCAGGAAGCCTTAGTTCTTTCCTGGTGTAAAAATATGCAGAAAGGAACAAATTATTTCAATGACTCTGCCACTGTTGAGGATCAGCTGTTAAGCTGCAGCTCTGCATCTTCTTTATACCAGCAGGGATGCAGGTACTGGCTGTCAGCCAATCTGTATGCAATGACCTCTCTGTGAAAACCGCATTGCATGTTTGTGAAACTGGAATTATCAAATTTTAATAGTGTTGGATTTTAGAGTATTTTTTCAAGCAGTCTTTGTCACAGTATTTCAGATTTCTAATTCCATTTAAAATCAGTTTATTTTAAAAGATGAGAACTTTTTCTAATACAATATTTTTTTCAGTGCTTCAATTTGAGTTTACTTGAAATCCTATTGAACAGAAACTTACTATAACAGGAAAATTCAAAAATAAATACCAAAGAGCAGATTTAGTCCCAGTTTTACAGCAGAAGCCAGTGCAATGTATTGGAGGCAGACTGTATAGAGGGAGACCTGCATGGTTGCTGGGCAGCACTGACCCAAGTAGTCTTGAAATCCACAAAATAATTTATGTGAATATGTGTAGCTGACATTTTCTGGCATCATTGTTGTGTGTTGCAGTCAGTGGGCTGGTGGTTGTATAAGATGTACCACTCTGGGTATAGGCCTGTAAAAGCTTTGAGGAACTTAATCTCACCAGCAAGATTAGAGTTTTCCTGGAAATAATTTTGCTACCTGCAAGAATTAAACTGTTTAATCCTTGGCGTGTTGGATTGCTGCAGTGCCCAGAGCATGATTATCCACAGCAGCATGCTCTCTCATGGATCTCCTTCTTTCTTTTCTCTTTGGTCTCTGTAAGGTCAGAGTTTCCTTTTTTCTTTGCTGTTTGTCTTGTATCTCTCACTTCAGATGGGAAGCAAATAGGTCTGAACTGGAGTACCAGTATGTCAAGTGCCATGCCTTTCTACTGCCACTTTTATTTCTTCTGGAGATTTAGCTTATTTCACTATCATTGTTGACTTCCTCTGAAAACTCTTCTGCTTCATCCATTAAGTCAGAGGCCTTGTGCTATCATTCTGTTAATTCTTAAGTTTGTTGCTATGCTACAACCTTTTTCTTCTCAACTTTGTCCTTCTGTACCCCCATCCTTACTCTTTCTCCATGAATTTGTACAAACCCTCTCTGGCAGTGTTGTCTCCTGTATGTACCTCCATTTCTCTGATTACCCTTGGACTCCTTTTGGCATCTGTTTTCCACTACTGTCCTCATCCTCCAGTGGATGCCTCACCCCAGGTTCTAGCGAAGCGGACCCCAGTCACATCAAGGCAGAGATCAGTGAGAATAAGTGTAAGCAAAGGTGCTGGTTATAGAGTCAGGAGATACAAAGCCCTAATTAAACAGCACATGTTGTTTCAAATGCTGTATGAAGGGAAACCCATATTGAAGATATTGGGAGCTCTTCCCAGGTAAGGAATTCAAGGACTGAAGTCAAGGTGGTAGGACAATAACTGCTACTGTGTAAAAGCGGCTACAGAGATTATATCACAACACTTCACATTTTTACAAAACAGTATATGCATTGTATATTACTATAAAACCAAATATTAAATTCTGTCTTTAAATTACATATTTCTTTGCCTTAAGAGAGACTTAGTCATATTCTGTTGGGCATACTGATGTGCAAAGAAGACAATGCGTTGTATGAGCAACAGTATGTCAATATTTGTAACAGTTTTTGATTAAGTATGTCTCTGAAAAAATCATTACAATCCCATCGTAATTATTTTACAAATTTAGCAGTAATAATATCCTGTATTTTTTAGTTACATGACTTAAAGCTTTCTCTATCTCTGCAGATGATGTAAGATACATTCATTGGGCAGAATCAGGTATATGCAAGTAGATTTTAAAAAAAGGATCTTTTAAAGAATCAGATTTGATGTATGGTATTTTACAGTTAAAAACTAATGGCCAGACCTCTATTGAAATTTACCTGTGCAGAAAAATACTGAAAGACCATGAGGTGCCTCAGCTAGAAATGAAATAATTGGATGGCATTTGTACATTTAATTGCTTAAGCTGTTTCATAAACATGAAGAGAGACTATTCCAAAGCAAACAGCACTACCAAACTGTTAAATATTCATTTTTTAATGATTGCACTCTATAAAAGTTTCAATGTGCAGAAGCTCAGTTGTAAAACCTCACACAAAATTGATGAGTGAAATCATCTGCAAATTCCTCAGACAATTAATTTTAAAATTCCTCCTTGTGCTTAGTTTTTCTCTGTCCTGTTTTGTAGACCTACATTAATTATTGTATTTCTATATATATTTACATATATGCCAAACTTAAAGAAAACAACACTTTAAGAAATGAATTGTAATGCAACATCTGGAGGAAAAAAGTGATTTCATGCAAGATTACATCACACAGAATAATAGTAGTAGCCCTGAAGATCTCGAGATGTCTGCATTCCATTCTTTTCTCTGCCCTGCTAGAATATAGTAATGCAATCTATTCAGATCTACTTAATGATTTAATTAATTTAGTTCTCATATCACCTGGTGAAGTGAGTAAAAACTTGTTTTTCTGACAATGTTTGTGGGATAGCATTATGAACAGTTCCTTAGATTATATGTTTTGAGATTATTTTTTTAATTTCGTTGTGTAAGTATTTGAATATCTTACCTGGGGAAGGTTAAAAAAGCTTAATTTCCAAAGCTCATGCTGATTAGGTACTGTCAAGGTTTGGTTTTTTTTTCCCAAATGTAGAGGCACCAAATTGGCAATCACCTTGAAAAGCCTGAATTTCAAATTTCAGTGCTTCTGCTACATTTGACTTTAGGAAGTGACTTATCTAAAGCCAGTGACTTGTGAAATTTGGGGGAGGTGGGAAAGGCACTGCCATTTCTGTAATCCATGTTTCGCTGTCCTGAAGATTTTTTTGCGTAATCACTGTTCGAGTTTATGAAGCACATGCAAAAACATGTACGTTTCTTGAATGTCTGCTGGTTCCTTATCTTTGTGTCTTTTACTGTGATGTTGTAGAGCTTGGATCATATGGAAACCTAAAATATTATGACACAATGACTGAAGAAGGTAAGAAATATTTTAGAATTGTTTGTATAAGCTTTTTTTGAAGCCCTTTAAGCGCCTTTAATGTGTTTACTTTGTCTATTTTAATTTTCTCCGTTTTTTAGTAACTCCTTTTTGCATGTGTGTCTTCATTGACAGTGCGATTAGTTGTGGCTCTTTTTTCAGGTTTTTGTTTTCAGCATTTCAGTTTTGCTATTTCAGATAAGGAAATATAATGGAATGCTTTTATTAAAGAACATACATGCAAAACCACACGCAAGTTATATGGCATAGTGTAACATAGATTGTAGGTACTTGTTTTATGCCATGTTTTACAGTGCGTTCAAGAAGATTAATTAATTTTGGGTTGTTCAAATGACTCAGTTTGAGAACAGTTATTAAGTCACTGCAGTTTACTGTATTATTCAAAAGTAATGAATAAACTTTAAAAACTAGGCATGACTATTCCTGGAGTATTAATTGTATGCTTAATTGCAGTGCAAAAATTACACAATTTAAAATCCTGATTCCAGCAATACAAGAAGGAAGTAATCAGGGCCCAAATCAGGGCTCAATGAAATCTTGTGAAATTTTTCTGCTGATTCAAAAGCATTAAAATGTATTATACTAATTCAGGAAAACAGTTAACTGTGTACTAAATTTCCAGCACATGCTTTCAGTCCTAGTGCAGTCAGTATTTCTATAATTTGGAAGTTCCCCTGAAGTGAGACCTGATTGTCTGTAGGATCAAGGCCTCTTGTTCAGCTCTCTGATTATAATACCGGGCAGATGGTTTCATGAATATTCAGTCTAGTAATTAGTGGCATGTCTGAAGATGGAAATAAGCTTGAGGCTTGTAGAAAAGTTAGCTGCCTATTCCTACTTATTTTTAATGTTGCGAATATAAGATGAATAGCTTAATTCTCTGTTTTTAAAAGCAGTTATTTTCTAGTTTAGATTAATCTTGAAGTTTAATAGGTTTGAAGAAAAGCTTCATTATATGACTTATTCATGATCATTTCTCCTGGGGAGGGGATGGAATTTATAACTTCTGACTATTTCCCATTTTCTGTATCTGCTGTTGATACTCAAATATAACCATACTATTCTGGGGCTGGCTGTAGGAGATGGTTCCTTGCTCCTTCATGCCTGATGTTGCAAGATACTGTTTTCTTCTGTAGCATGCATGAGTTCATAGGGCAGTCTTGCCAATCTGCCCTCTGTTGCCCAGATTCACCATCTGATCTGCACGGCTGGCACCAATGTAAGAAAAAATGTCTGAGGGAAGATTTTACTGGGCAAACAGTGGTGTCTGTGTTGTTTAAATACAGCTCTCAAGCACCTGAAATGCGTTGTTAACCTAGGCCATTCAGATACGGCTACCAGAGCTAAAATTTTTGCAGTATGTCTCATCTCAGCCTTCATTACAATCAAGATGTGAAGGTCATTTCTCATTGTAGCCTCAGAGTTGGGTATGTTAAGGTTTTTATTTTTTATGCTGAAGTATTAAATCTGGCATTTCAAAAGTAGTCACTATATTAGTAGCCTTCTGATATTCATAAATACTCTAATGACAGTTAAATGTAGCCTTTCATGGGAAAATACCCATGCAAATATGTTGCGTACAATATATGTATATATTAATACTGTGCCTATGCTGTTAATATTCAGTATCATCTCAGAAAGCACTCCTCGTGAATAAATAATACAAGACCATACCGTAGCAATAGCAAAAATCCAGTAGCCAAAATAAGAAAGGAAGCTCTTTGTCTTTAGGAGTATTAACACTGACAAGGGTCTATGATACAGTTTACCGACTCGACTGCAACTGTCATCATCATTTTCACCTATCTTTCACAAAACAAGTAATGAATAGTGTATCGCAGAAGCTGTATTTAGATCAAAGTGTGATATATTTTGAACTTTCTGTTTGGATATTCAAAAGTGTAATCACTGTCACTCTGCATCACACTTATTCGTATTATCCATTTTCCTCTTTCTCTTCGTTTTTTCAATGAGCTTTTCATACATTTTGTACAGAAAGTCAGTTACAGAAACATGTAAACCAGTTACAAATCAATGGATTTTTTCTAATACCTCCAGATGGTTAGGTCACAAAATACAGTCAGATATAGCCTGATGGCCAGAGGGCCATTGTGTTCCAGGTCTTAGCAACTGATCTGTGTTGTTTTGTTTGCTTCTCTTTGATGTGCAAGTGACTTTACATTAATTGCAGATCAGTCAGGCCCAACTGGGGGAGAAACTATACGCTACCAGATGGGAAAAGACCCTCACAGTAATCTTGTGCTGTCAAGTAACTTCCATCAACAGTCTACAACATGACAAAACTGCATGCATTTTAATTTGATGCTTCTGCAGGATTTTGAAGTTAGAGGAGAAAGCATGTGAGGTGGATTTCTGGAGTTGATCAGTTGTGGCCGGCTAGTTGTGTTCCACAACAGGCCATGAGCAGGACTGGTAGGTACAGTTCAGACTGTTCAACAGCCACAGATTTCAGACTCATGAAAGCTTACCTATAGCTCGATAGTTGTAGTAAGTTGCATTTGATTGGGGACTGAAGACTAGACAAATGGTAGAGTCTTGAATTTTTTAAATAAGTGAATGTCTGAAGATAAAACTATTTTCCTATCAAATCAAAGCCTTTTTCTGACCCAGGGAATCTGTAGTCAGCAATTTAGATTGTAGTCAAAGGACTGACTTTTTAATACAGCCTTGATCAGGGGGTGAGTCTCTGCCAACTGATGCCACCTGGAGTCAGTCATGCAAATCAAGGCATAGCTATATTATACAATACTGATTTGTTTGCATATATTCAAATAAAATCAATTTAGTTTTAAGCTACCTTCTTTGCTAATCACCTGGCCTTTATCTCCTGTTCCTTCTACCCCATCCTTTGTAAACTAAAATGAGCTTCAAAACCTGATTTCAGCAAATCTTGATTAATTTTCTATAACAATCTATTTTATTTCCTGTCCATGGAATCAAGCATTTTCATTCACCTAAATTCTCATTATACCAGATGGAGTAAAAATTACTCTTAGGTAGTCAAACCCATAATAAACAGGACTGTGAAAGAGGAAACATAAGCTCCTACCTTGTCCTAGAAAGAAGAGTAACATAAGATTCCTATGATTATTTTAGTAACCCCACCTAAAGATGAGACAAAAGGCATGAGAAAAGATCTAGGCTTAAGACGAAACCTTTGGGCCTTTCTGTAAATTTGAATGACAGATATATCTTGGGCTGATCCTTTTTCCTGGTGGCTCTGTGCTTCCCCTTTGCTGGACAAGTTTTGATTTGGTTTGAAGGAGGAAAATGGCAGGGAAAGGGAAGGAGGAGGCATAGCTCTTCTGTCTTTTGGTATCTCACTGTCTTCATGCAGGCTAGTACTACTACTTTCCTCAGTTTCATGCTTTTGGTAGTTGGTGTTATGTCTTTGAATCATTTCCTCACACTGTTATCTATGCTGAGTGAATCAAATGAAAGGTAATGATGTAAAACAATGTAAGATGAACTGCGCATGTACTGAGAAATAAAAATAAATCAAAATACAGTTTCTGTTTCAAATGTTAAGATTAATTTCCATGACAGTGATTTACAACTGTGGAAGAGTGTCCTGAATGAAACGGTGTAACTTACAATGTTACAAAGTTAGTGTAAGAAGTTCTTCCAAGAGATGGGAGGAGGCTTTTGGAAATGGGAAAAAAATTGGAGACAAATTCAATTAAGCTAATCTAAACCAGTGTGAATCTCTGTAGAGACGTTTTCTTTTCAGTTCAATAATGGCTCAAGTTTCTCTGTTAAAGAAACCTGAACAAATTCAAACAATCTGAAACAAAAGACTAGAGTATCGTTACAGAATTCTGCATCACTTTAATTAAACTTCTTAAATTATACCTTAAATTAAAAGGTCCTGAACCTTCCTGGAGTAGCTGGTGACATGGATGGTTCCACAGATGTTTCTCAGAAAATGTCTCAGTTGCATCATTTGCATCGCTTGCAAAAAATGTGTTTGTGTATCTGGGGCATCACAAGCCAGATTCTCAAACATATGAAACTGAGTTGTAATCTGAAACCTGAAGCAATCCTTTAGCAAACTGACATACATGTTGTATGAAAATTATGGAGGCACTTCAGTATCTACACATGCTTTTGTGTAAGCATGTTTTAAATGCCCCTAGTGTTTCAAAAGAAGTTAGGAACAGACGTGACTCTTAGCATTTCAGCTTAAAATATTTGGAAATATGATTTGCATTTTTTCCGCTGTTTTTTCTTTCTCTTACCTGGTATCCCAAGCAATTTGCTTTCTCTCTCTCTCTTTTTTTAACTCTTTGTTTCCTCTTCCCCTTCTGACAAAAATCTCTGCCACTGATCCTGTGCACTGAAATAATGAGATGGCTTGCTATTTGTGATTGTGTTCTACTCTTAGATACTCTTCTGCAGGCAATTTTACTCTATGTACCATGTACCAAAAGAGAGAATTTTTGCAATATATTGTGAATGGCTAATTATTTTTCTGGAGCATGATGTGTTTGTGAAAAGGTAGGGGCTGCTGAAAGGACAGTACTGCTTATTAAATACTTGTGGTATTTTTATTACATTCCAAGTGATTTTCTGTTGACAAATTAATTCCGCTTCCCAGCAAATGATAGCTGCTAGTCCCTATGGGCTGTGCATATGCTTATTCACATACAAAAGTGTTGGTACAGTGGTTTAAAGCTTCTGTTTGTGAGAAGGAAAGAGGATTTCTTTCTTGACTAATGATTTATTCTTGTATGGCTTTCGTTTTTGCTTGGAAACAGTGACTGTTACCCAACTAACTGGGTTCATTCATGACTTCTCACTGTTACTTCCCACTGTTAATCAATTATGTGATTCCACTGAAATATCTTTTGGTCCTAAGCCTGCACTGTTTTTGCCACAGGGACACCAACAGTTTTCAATGGATTTTTTTAACTGGAGGTGGAAAATTAAAACAGTCACAGGCCCTGTATGGTAGTAGTGTTCTTAATTAGAAGTGTACTGTACTATAAGCATCAATTATACTTTTAAAAAAATTTAAAAAATACTGAAAGAGCAATAGCAATGAGGATAATAATAAAGAAAGATAGATACCTCACCTTTCTACACGACATAGAATGTCATAAGCTGTTCAAAGAGCCCTTACATAGAAAGATCAAGCAATGTATAGGAAGGATTAAATTAATTTCACTTAATATTTGCCTTCTTTGACATTGCCTAGTTTGAATGCGTCATTTGGACTTAGTGGTCAGCTAAGAGTGACAGGACCTCAGACCTCTATTAGGATGGGATGAGTTGCCCTGGAGACAGTCTAGATGATGAGCTGCATGGTTAACCTTGTGGGACACAGAAACTACCTGGCAGGTTGAGAAGAAAATTTACCTTTGTGAAGCTTGTATGGAAATCGTGTTCTGGAGGTTTCTTCTTCCCCTTCTGAAGTCTGTGGTAGAAGCCACAGGCACATAGCTGAGTACAAAGTAACAAAGTTGACCACAGTCGCCATGATGTAATAGATGGGTTAATCTGAAATTCTGTGTTACTGTACTACTAGCTGAGACCTGTAACTGTTTGTGTTTGTTTTTATAGTACCTGTATTCATCTGTATTCATCTTCCATTTAGGCTGAAATCCTACACCCGTACTTCTATAGGTGGAACTTTACTGACTGCTTCCGAAGAAAAATAATAGCTTCTGTTTTTCATTTATTGTTTAATTTGTTGCTCAGTTCTCTGAATAGAAAAAAAAAATACATTTTTGTTTCCACTAAAAAGAAAAGAGGTATATATGAGAACATCAGGTAGTGTTTAATAACATGTTTACTGTTTGAGGAGGTATGGAAATGGATTATCAGCACTGATTTGTGGAGCCGAAGCTATGGCAAAGAAACAGATTCTCAAAATGGCTGCATTTTAATAACAACAATGTTTTCTTTTAGGAAAGTTCAAGGAAAGGGCCTCAATTCTACATAAGATCGCCAAAAAGAAGTGCCAGGTGGAAGACAGTGAAAGGCAGAATGGAGCTGCTAATCATGGTGAGTGCAGCAGTACAGATTTATCACCTGTTCCCAAGGGCCTTTTTCACTCTTTTATTTTGCTTGAAAATCCTTAGGGATTAATTTCTCCTTCTATTTAATTTATGATATTTTAGATTCTGATTCCCTCTAAAAAGAGTATTAAAATTATGGATGGAACAGGAGCTGGGTGCAAGAAAGAGAAAGTCAGTTAAGGCATCTAGAAAGACTCCCAGTAGAGCTGAGAAGGAAAAAGCAATGCTGGTTTTAGATATGTGTTGAAGTGGCAGAAATAGATAGACAAAACTTACTCACAGTTTATATGTGAAAATTTAATTAGTTTATTGATCTACTCTAGGAGAATATGTGTTTTATGTGGTATCACCCTTGTCACAAAAAGAAACAACCTTCGTATTTAAAATTTGATTCGTCTACCCACTACTTGCTGAGAGTCATTTAGGCCCATGTATGCTGATTGTGCAAAATTAGCTTAATAAGGTTTTCCACTAAGGGTAAGAATTTGTACTTTAGTTCAAAACTTCCTGTACTAAAAGAAAATCTGTACTATGTCCCGTTTTCTCTACTTCACCTCAGCACGTTCTCTGCATTAGAAAACCAGATGTAAATGTGTATGATAAAAGCTGAATCATTTTATTAGTTAATACTTTTTCTAAACTTGTGCTATATTTAGATACTATATTTAGATACTATTTGCTTCCAGAATCAAGCAGTTGGATGGGACACTCTGTTAATAAACCATAATGTGGGGTTAAGAGAAAACACACATGCACTGAGATAATTACAGATAGTCTGGCACTCCTCTGTGGCTGTGATCTCAGATTTTTAATTGAGAAGGATCTCAGGATAGCAGTAATATAACTAGACAGCTGTATTTACTTCTGTGCACAAGAGTGTACCATGAGGCATGTTGAACTTGAGTTAGACTTTTGATGTTGCTATTCCCTATAACTTTATATTGTCCAAGGGATTTTTGGCCACTGACATTTTTATCTAGTACATACTTAAAGAGATAATTACTGTTTAGAGAATTCCAAGATAGTAAAAGTAAGTATAAATTTGGCTTCAGAAACTAAAGGCACGATTTTATCCCTTTATTTCCTGTAAAAGTTTAGCACCAGGACTACAGGATTCTGTTTTAAAGATCATCCTCTGTTATTGGATGTTATTAGGCCATCCATTTACTGTTTTCCCACCTTTCCTCGTGAGAGGGAGCATGATTACAGCTTGGAAGTAACTTTACTAATTGCAAGGCTTAGTGTGTTATAAAAGTTGTACCTTGTTGAATGTATCCCCTCACTGTAAATGCAACATACTGCATTCTTCAGTATCTGGGGAGAATGCTATATGTCACTTTTTACCTGAAGTATTAGGCTCAGTGAGTTTAGCATAAACAAAGAGCACTGAATATTGCAAAGAAAGTAAATTTTTCTAGGACATAAGTACCAGTAGAATAGTTTCTTCAAATGCAAGCTCACCGCTCATAAGAATTTTATTCAAATTGTGTACTGGTCAAAAGGAAGATAGAATTTTTGTCTCTCTCTTTTAAAAGCAGATGTTGGTCCACCTTCAGTATTTCATAATTTACACAGACAGGATATATGACAGCAGTTTCACTAGCAGATTTGTTACTTAATATTATGTTCTGTTGTTTTCCCCCTCTTATGGATGTTGCCACAGAAAAAAGTGCAAAAGTGGAAGTTGCAGTAACACCACCAAGTGATTCAGGACCAGTGCAGAATGGAATTGCCCATAACGTTGAAGAAGAGGTTAATGTCTTTTTTATTGTTCTTTTAATTTTTGTATTGGTAAATATCTTGAGTGCGTGATTGTGTTTTTTGCTGAAAGTATACATCTTAAGAGCAAGAAGCTGTTAGTATTAACTGTCTACAATATATTTCTACAATATATTTTATCTTCACTTACAACTGAACCTAATGTATGGCTTGCCATGTATAAAAGCTCTTCTCTTGTCCCCTTGCCTTTCAGTGTAAGGTAAGATGGTAGTCTGGAATGTGTTCTTTTGGGAAATGTAGTTTTACATATCAGAAAAGATGTTCACAGACCGAAATGTAGGTAATGGCAATTGCTTGTCTGATTATCATCACACTGCACAAAACCTGTTCTCTTAAGAGGGTGCCCTGTCATGTTGTGCTTCATGGGGTAGTTCTAAGTGTTATAAAAGAGGAGCTGTACACAAACAGCTACTCCATCCTGCCTTCTATTATCTTGAAAAAATAACAAATGAAGCTGAATGCAATATAGTATACTAGTATTTCTATGACTCTTATTGCGTATGGTTAAAATCTGCAGAAGAAGTAATTCAACACTTAAATGTATTTATTTTAACATGCACCTTTTGTAGAAAAGAAGTAACTGCATAACTGTATCCAACTTGCACAATGGCTATACAGCTAGCTAGCTTCTTTCTTAAATAAGTTACAATTCTCAAGAGTAGCTGACTGCAAAATCTGACCCTGCCAGGCCCATTTTAAATGTCTTTTAATTTTTAAAAAATTTCATTAATACCTTCTACATCCAAAGTAGGCAAACAAGTGGAAAAATGCTGGTGAATTGATTTTGCTAAACTGGGGCACTAGTCTTTTAAACTGAGACAGCAAAACCTGCATAGAGGGAGAAAGTCCTGTTAAAAATAATCTTTGACACAGAAGCTTTTATAATGCTTTTGTTTGTACAGTTTACTTCTTCACCTTCTCCTTAGGCTATAGGGACTTAAGAAAGGTACTGCAAGAGATGGCTAAGCAGTGGTCTATACCATAACACGAGCTTCACATCATTGAAAATGGGATGAGCTGCGTTGTATTTACATACAGCAAAATCATGCAAAAAAAAAGCAATGGCCATGTTTTGAGTCGTCCTAGGTTTAGGTTTTGATATTTTAGTTGCTTTTGCTTATTTATCTTTCAACAAAATTGTAGTCCAAGTCAGAGATCATCTTGCCTTTTTCGTGACCTGAGCAAAATCACTGTATGTGAAATTCTTTCCTTGAAAGGTTCTGCAAACAACAGGAAAAATGAGAAGTGGTGTACAAGTAACAGAGTGTGTTTATGTCTGTTGCCTCCTTCCTAAATACAACTGTCCCTGACAAGGAGCATAATTTATATTGAAACATACTTAAAACAGGGAGAGGTTATCAATTTTTTTCTGCAAGGCTGGCAAAAAATACGGTGAAGTGTAGTAGGGTGAGTCTTTGGGAAAAGATTCTGTTTTCTTTACACAGCTGGAGGTGGAGAAATGATAAGATGATTCAGTCCAACTGGTGTGTTAGTGCACCAAATGTTGGCAGATAGCTTTAGGTCTTCACCATTTGCAGATAATTTTGGTCACTGGGAATAGAAATTGAGAATCAGAATGAAGGACCTAAAAGAGATGGGCAGGTTTTGGTATCCTGAAAGATCAGTAATGATAATGAGTCTCCCATGGAAGGGAAAGCATAGTAGAACAGTAAATTGCTTTTTCTGTTAATCTAAGTTGTTCAGACTGGCATGCCACTTAAAGATCCTTGTCAGCCCAACAGAGCATTACTCTTATGTAAATGAGATGAGTAAAATCTACGTAATAAAAAATCTCAATGCCACACTCCAACACTGAACATTTTAAGGTAAGGAAGGATCAATTTTCAAATCCATTTGCATCCTGTTCTGAGAGTCCGACCTCACCACTGCAATGCAATGTGTCTTTAGACTATTTTTTAACTTCAGAAAAGAAAAAAAAACAGCAAACAAAATCCAAAGCCGAGTGGCTTTTAGACTTCTGTTCTCAAAGGTCGGTAAGGAATGACATAGCCTGGTCTAACCTGTTACGGTGTATGTAAATCAGTCTGTGGGATGTATGAAAACTCTAATAGACTAGTAGATTTCAGTAGCTTAAGAAACTGGTCTTACTTTGCAAGATTTTTTTCCGCTGAGATGGTTCAGTGAAAACAATGAAGGAAAAGCAATCTTAAGCAATCACATCTCGCAGCAATGTCCGTATGCTATCATTTTGCATTGTAATGAAGCAGTTTCTAAGCTTGTTCAGAAATATGCAAGGTCAAGCAGCCTCATCATTCAACACAATGGTTTCAATTTTAAGCAACTGCAGGATAAGGAGGGAAAATTATTGCAAGAGTACATTACTCAGCAATGTCTTCCTCTCATCTCCCTTTAGGCATTTAGACTTTCAGTGAGACAGGGTTTGGAACTTTTGTGTTAATTTCAGCAAGTATTAGGACATTCTGAAAAACTTCAGTGTTGTATCAGAGGTGGGAGAAGTTATTTATCCTTATCCGAATGACAAGATGGAGCAAGTAAGGAGGTTTGTAACTGATGGAGGAGCGATTCTGCAGATTTAGTTCCATTAATCTGAAGGAAAAGATTTTAGGTTCCAGCTGTCACAATAAAAAATAACAATCCCCTAATAACATTTTGAGATGGCCTGCGCTGGGTTCCTCCCCACTGGCCTCTCTAGTTTTGTCTTCTTCCAGTTATAACCTGACAGCTGCTGCTATCTCAGACTGCTTCAGTTATTGATATGCTGGAACCCATTTTGTAATTTAAAAATATCTATTGGGAATTTTTGAAAAGCTGTAATAAGAATAGTCTACTCATCCACGTAACAAATAAATGGGTCTCTATGATGCTTAAGACCATACTTTGTTGCGAGGTTCTGTACCTATTCTGTACTGTACAAAGACCGTTCCTCAACATATTGCCTATCTTTTTGTGCACAGCATCCTGATACACCTTCCTAAGCTATGGCATCACTCTGAAGTTGACGCTGGGCTGTTCAGTTTCCTTCTGCTTTATGTTTTGACTTCATGGACACTAATAGGACTACTGCTGATTTATAGAAGTGTAGACAACAACAGAATCACACGCACAGCATTCATGTGACCTTTTCCTTTGATGAAGATTAGAATTTGAGAAGGAGAAATTGGACATTGTCCTCCCAAGCCTTCCTGGCTTTTCCAAACTTCATGCAGATACTACATATCCCTAGGAAGTAGCAGATCTTCAAAGACAATGATATCAGTTCTAAGAGCATCTCTGTTCAGGGAAGTAATACTGAAGGCACAGGACAGTACGCCAGCCAGTACTCATCAATAGTTTCTACTTCTCTTTCAAAAACTTGCTCATTATAGCTGAGCAACAAGAACAAACTTATTACAGCTCAGACTTGACCTACAAATGTTCTTGAATTTTGATCTTTCTGTGACAAGTATTCTCCATTTTACGCTGAGAACATAACTTGCTTCTGTTCCAAGAGTAGAGTTCAGTCTGGTGGCTTGAATTTTTGATGATTTTTCTTTACTCCGATGTAAAAGAAGTGCTGTAGTATGAGTTTGAAAATATAGTATGATATTGCTTCTGTCTGATTTTCCAGTTGTGTATGTCCAAAGATAAGGTTTTGTAATCTGTAAGTGCTGTTTAGAAAATCTCTTAAGAAAACTTACCATTAGTGCCTCCATGTCCCAGGGATGATCATTTAGAACTGAGAAAGTTAGAGACATTGTCCATCTTGAGGAACCAAGTTGCAAATATGCCTTTGCTGAAAAAAATGTCCTGAAAACTGTTGGCTGGGAAATGTGTGTACTTCCATAGCAGGTCATCAAGCATTCCTAAAACATGTGTGCAGTGAGGATACAGAAAATGTGCATAGGTATTGAAGTCTTTCTCCTGCATTCTCAAGTTCCGCTATGGTCTTCATGCTTTTCACTCGTGCAAAACAAGCATAGTCATATTAGTGTTTTTAATTAGTTTTCACTCGTGCAGATTATGGAGCCTGGGCCTAAATCCCTAGACATTATCATTTTAGTAATATGATGTTCTGTATTGGAGTTAAAATAGTCTGAAAATAAGTACGTTAAAAATTATATGTTCCTCTAGTACAAAGAGAATATACAAATAAATCCATCTTACTTATAAAACCCTTGTTCTTTTAAGAGTATCCTGCGGAACAAATGACCCTTGTGAAAGGAGTCATCGCTGCTCACTGCAGGAAGGTTGGGCAAGATGACCTCTAAAGGTCCCTTCCAACCCTAAGCATTCTATGATTCTGTGATTCTGTGAAAGGAAGGTGTCAGGCTAAGTGTGCAAGAAAAGGGGAAAAAAATAGCTTTTATGCTGTATTTTAATTTTCACATATTTGTAAATTAAACTTCTGTTTAAAAAAGCATGATACTCCAAATGCTATGATTTAGTTTTCCTTAGACCCCTCCTAGTTTCTTTAGAGTTTTGAGGTAATCTTTGTATTTTTTCCAGACTCATTCTTTCCACCTTTCCTTCTTTTTCAATTTCACAAGGCTGAAACACTACACAAGACAGTTAAGGACACTGTCAGTTAATGACTTTCACCAGGTTTCAGGAACTAGATGATTTCACTTTATTTCTGTTTCTTTTTTTCTTTTTTTTTTTTCTTTTAATGCCTTCATTTTTCTCTTCCAAACTCCACTGTCTTGCTTTTCCTTTTTTCTCAGGCCCTTAACTTCATTCTTCTTACTCCACTCTCCTCCAGGGAACCTCAACTGTCCTTTTGTTAGCCAAAGCCAAGATAATCTCTGACCTGATGCTGCTTTCAGAAATTCAAAAAGACTTTCCAGAAAATGTCCCCAGCAACCTAGTCATTTGTCCCAGACAGTAAGACTCATATAATCCCACTCCCACTGTAAGCAGCAGCAGACCTACACTTTAATAAAACCGGGATCCTCAGCTGAGAAGGACAGACGGCTGCGGTCTCCTTCCCAGCCCCGAACCAGCACAGCAGGGAA